GCTAGAACTTCTACAACCCTATCAAATAAATTGATAAAAGTGAAGATCTTTGCCATGTTCCCAAATATTGTGGAAAGATTTCAATCTTATTAAGTGTGATGTTAGCACTGAGCATTTTTGTAGATGTTCTTTGTCAGGCTGAAAAAAATCCTTTTTATTCCTAGTTTTCTGAGAGTTCTAAATTATGAGAGGATATTTAATTATTAAATGAATTTTCTGTATCAATTAATATAATAAAATGATTTTCTTATTTAACCTGTTAATATGTTAGATTAATAAGATAAATCATATTTGAGTGCTTTTCAAATATTGAACGAGCCTTGAATCTTGGGATAAATTCTACCTGGTCATGATGTACAATTCTTATCATGATGTACTGATAAGTTCTGTTTACTAATATTTTGCCAGGGATTTTTGTATATATATTCATTAGAGATATCATTCAGTGATAATATGTTGGTTTTTTCTCTTTTTCTGGTTTTGTTATTATGGCAAGGGTAATATGAGCCTCTCTCTTTTTCTACTTTCTGAAGGATCTTATGCAGAATTAGTGTTAATTCTCCTTTAAATATTTAGTGGGGTTTTCCAGTAAAGCCTTCTGTGCCTAGAAATTTCTTGATAGGAATCTTTTAAATTACAAATTTGATTTTTTAAAATAATAATAAGGTTATTTGAGTGACCTATTTCTTATTTGGTGAGTTGTGGTAGTTGTGTTTTTTGAGGAAATGGTCCATTTCATCTAAGTCATCAAATTTATGTATGTTAAGCAGGTTAGAGAATTTATTATCCATTTTATGTCTAAAGGGTCATTAATGATATATCCTGCTTCATTTGTGGTATCAGTAATTTGTGTGATCTCTTTTTCTTTGTCACACTGGTAGAGGTTTATCACTTTTATTTCACAGAATCGGCTCTGTGGTTCATTGATTTTCTCTATTGCTTTTCTCTTTTCAATTTCATTTCTTTATTTTCTTCCTTCTGCTTGTTTGGTGTTTATTTTGCCTTCTTTTCTTATGTTCTTGAGTTGGGTGCTTAGTTCCTTGATTTGAGATTTTTCCTCTTTTCTAATATATCCATTTAATACCAAAAACATCCTCCCCACAGTTTTGTAAACATATCCCCCAAACTTTGATATTATATACTTTTCTTTTATTCATATCAAAATAAATATGTGTAACTACAAAAATATACATATGTGTGTGTGTGTGTGTGTGTGTATTCCTTTCTTAAGAGTACTTCTTTATCCATGGCTGATTTAAAAGTGCATTGATTAGTTTTCAATCATTTGGAGATTTTCCTTTTACCTCTTTGCTATTGATTTCTATATTGAATCCACAATAGTAAAAAAAAAAAAAAGTTGGCTGTATGTGATTTCAATTATTTTAAAGTGATTGAAGTTGTGCTGTGTGTCTGTCTCCTGGGACCTTATCTATCTTGGTATGTGTTCCATGGGCACTTAAAAGTGTTTTGCTATGGTTGGAAAGAGTGTTCTATAAATATCAGTTAGGTCTTTTGGTTGACAATGCTGCCTTTTCTATATGTTTGCTGATTCTATTTCTGTTATTCTAACAATTATTGATATGGGAATGTTGAAGTGAGGAGAGTTCAGAAACAAGAAGTGTGGGGGAGGGGGCGTAGAAATGAATGACACCAAAGGCAGAAGCATATGTCAGAAAGGCCTCTAGTCTATCTAACAATAATCTGCAATATGTAATTGATTTGTTCAGACACATATCAAATTAGAAACGCAAACATGGAGTGAACATCAGTCAGCATGACATAAATGTCAACCTTGAATATATGACAGGGGAGAAAGGAAAGAAGGGACAGTTTGATAGTTACTAAAATAGCAGATTCAAAGGGAATAGTGACCAAAGAGCAGAAGGTGTAAAGACAATGAAGTTAAAATCATTTGTATATTTTGCATCTTGGATGACTGTGTGAATTGAGGTGACATCAATAGAACTATAGACTACATGGGAGGAAACACATTTGGCTGGAAAGAGTGGAACTGACAGAATCCATTCATGTCATCATGAGAATAAAGTATCTATGGACCATCCAAAGAGGTCTAAAAATATATTGACACTTCAAAAGAATGTCAGATACACAAGTAGGATTTCAGAGCCTTGGTTTAATTAGTAATAATCTAATCTACCTACATTGAGATTATCCAGGAAATACAAACCGAATGAGAAAAGAGGGTTAAGAATATGACCCAATTAAGCCACAATGTTTAGGACTGAAAGAAGAGAAGAAATGGAGAGAGGAAAGTGCTATCTATCTGTCAGAGAAGGAAGAGAATGGACAGGGGAGTTTATTTTGGTTCTACACGTATTCTTCATTGATGGCTTACTTTCTGCAGTACACTATACTGGGAGACTGGCTTTTGATGCTGTTACTCTTTCTCGATGTAAACAGATACTCCAGTGTGGTCAGCTCAGCAACAGATATTCACTGAACAACCTAAGACTGTGAGAGAAAACTTTCAAGAGATGAGGACATTAAATCAGAGTCTTCAAGGATAGTAGAAATTATCCAGGTAAGGAAAGAGAGAGAAAAAGTCACACCAGGCCAAGGGTACCACCTGAACAACAGCAAAGGGGCATGGGACTCAAGAGAGGAGAGAATATTTCCTAACACTGACAGCAGTGCTGAATGTGACCGAGAAATAAGATCACATCACATGGAAGAAGGCCCTTTCACTTTGACACTCAGGCAGTCACTGGTGACCTCTGCTACAGCAGCTTCTATGAAATGATGTGGATGGAAACCAGATAAGGGTGAGAAGATGAGGGAGTGGAAGAATGTGAAGTTCAGACCAAGTTGGTAGGGTCATTTCTCAAGGAGCTTAGTGCAGAAGAATAAAGATGGAAAAGCTAGAAGTGGGTCAAACTCTAAAAGGCTTTGTTGTGTGATCAGAGAGAATGGAGGACATTTCCAAGTTGGGGAAAAAAAAGAGGAGAGGGCAGACAAAGGCTTAAAAAAGTAGGTTACTTTATCAGTCATTCACAAAGCAAATATTTATAGAACCTCTACACTGTTCTTGAGCATATCACTCCAAGATAAAGACAATCAACCTCCCTTCCTGGTTTTAATTTTAAATAAACTGGAGAAACGATAGAAAGCCAATAGTCAGTAGCAGAAAAATTACATGTATCTCAATTCTGAAGTCAGCATAATAGTGATAAACATAAATACTTATAAAGGTGAATTCTGTTTTGTCACGTTTATATGAGCAATGCTACATTTTAATGTAAGTATTCAGTGTTGAGATTTATTTTGCTTGCTTGCTAAATAAAAACATTTATTCTCTTGCAAGGACTTCAGTATGGAACAGAATGTGTCAAGCTTTATATCATGCGGTAATTAATTACAAGCACCTGAATGCGTATGAGTCTGCCAGATACAAAAACAGTTCAAGAGATGTGGAATTGTATGCAATGGTTTAATTCTTGTATTAAAGTCTTCCTGAATTTCTTCTAGCATTCAGAGACAAAAGACTGAAAACTAAAACAGCTAAAATTGACAGAACACAAATGACCTCACAATAGAAAAGGCACTAGAATTCATTTCATATAAAGAATAGTCTCTCATTTTTTTTTTAGATTCAGTGAGTCGCAGAGTGTTAATATTGCAAAGAAACTTGACATTATCCGATACTTCTTTACACAGCCCACATATACAATTCTCTTCTTCACATTCCTAGTCTGATATTGAGAGACCACTTTATATGAAAGAGAGCCTCCCAGTAGAGAAACTATTCATTCTACTACAATGCTACACATTTAAATTTGTCTCTGATTATTCCCCAAATAGAACTTTCTGCAACTCTGCATTATAAGGGTACTTATTTTATATGCATCATCTCTTTAAGTACCAAAAGTTGCTTTTGATATATGCACCTTAGATACATTGTCTTTCACACTAATCACTCCTAGTTCCTCTCTTTCTTTATGATTTTTACCCTAGTTTTTTTTCTTTTACATGATTTTTGGTAAGCTATTTTTTGTTTTGTTTAATTTTTGTTGTTATCCTCTTCATTAAACTAACCATGAATTTTCAAATGCAGGAAAATAAATATGCTATCATAGTATATGGTAACTATTCTTAAAGCAATCCCACCAATGATTTGTATTTGTACCATGGACAATAATAATACTCAGGATTTAATGGCAAAAAGTAAAACCAACCCAAGTTTGTCCTATTTCATTTCTGTGTATATATTTTTTAATTCAAATATAAAATTGTGAAGATGTCTGCATTTTTCTATCCCATTGTGTCCAAAATAATCCAGGATCATTTTGAATGATAATTTAGCAAATCACTATACATTTTATCCCTCCAAGATTTTGATCTCTTACAAATCTGATGAGTATGTTATCTAAGTCTTCATATAAGTCACTGGTAAAAGAGAATAAGTACAAATTGAGAACTTCCTAGTTATACAGACAGAAACCTTATTCCAGATTGATATTAATGCATATATTAGAATTTTCCAGTAGTTATTTGTTTAGCTATGAATCTGGTCAGTTTCTATTCCTTTCCTTTACACACTGTTATTATTAGAAACCATCGAAAATATTTACCTATAATTAAGACAAAATACCCCTTTGGAAACCCACTAATTCTTTAAAAAAGAAAAAAAAATGTGAATATATGTTGCTTGTTTAATGGTAAATATTTTCTCTTCTAGGATTCCAAAATCAGTATCAGCTTGATAATATTCTCTAAAAATCTATTAAGGATAGACATTAAATTTGTTCTTGTCCATTCTCTGGAATTCAATTTATACTGATTGTTCTACACTATAAATGAAATAGCTGGCTATTATTTCCTACAAATTACCTTCTCTTCTGAAATCATATTTTTAACTGGAAGAAGATATAAAAATGTTCCCTGTCTCTATACACATTTTACTGTTCCTACTCAGGACTACCACTCAAAAATTTCATGAAAATATGTCCCACCTATATGTGATATAACATTTATTTTATTACCTCATATAAAACTGTTGTGTTCCCATGTAGGAGAGGTCCATAACAGATATAAGAATGTCCAACAACCCAGCCTAAGTCAGAAGCTGCCCACCACACCTGAAAAATAAGAAAATGATAAAAATGAACATGGCTTTATCAGAAATGTCATATAGCCTACACTTAAAAACCATGATTACCTCTCCAGGTTTAAGGCCATATATTGAAGACATTGTCCAATTCAGCATTACTGCGTAGCCCCCAGTGGGCCTCACCACACCCTAAAGGAGAGAAAGAGTGAAGTTAAAGTCAGTGGGATGATATGTTAAAAATTTCTCTATCTTCATGCTCTCTACTTTAAAAATTCCAGATTTAAAGTATTGGATATTCTTTAGAGTACATATTACTTCAACTTTTATATAACTATATTTGAATCACTATTTCTGTGGCTTCTCCCACAGAAAAAAAAATTTTCTAATAAACTCAGAACAATTTGTCCTCATCAGTTCCATTTGTGGAACCCATCCTTGCATGACATTATTACTCTTCTAAAGAAGACTTACGACTTCACAAAATCACATAAAATATTTTCAGTGGTGTTACCCATTATCAGCATTACATTTTCAAATGCAGTTCCTGAACAAAAATGGAAAATAACAAAATTAAGTGCAGGAAAAATTTCAAATGGAGTTACATGCCTAAAATACAGACTAACATAAGGACATCTATTCCTCAAGATAATTAGACAAAACTGGGTTGCTTAGAGGAAACAAAGTCATATTCCAACTGGAACCCAATTCCAATGCTAAAGAGGAATCCTGTAGGCATCATGTTAGAGTTTAGCAATACTTTGGCGGTAGATTCTGAAACCCCGAGGATTGAAGCCTGAGGAGTTGGACTTAAAGCTAACAGATTTTATTTATACTACAATTGGGACAAAACCAGGGATCATTACATCACTATCACACCATTTTCATAAATCAACTTTCTGTAGATTTCCTCAAAACTGTGAACATATTCAACTTTAACAGAAGACTAATATTTGAACAGTGGGCGTAAGGGTCATCATAAATAAGAACTGATGGCAAATTTAATAATTAATTAATTTTATTTATTGCTTCATTATACACATTAATCATTAGCCCAGTAAGACATAACCAAGTTTTTTTATCCAGAATAAGTAAGTGAATGCCTGCTAAGTACAAGTTATATTATATTCAAATGCATTTGAAGCATCTTTTAGTAATTATAACTGCTCTATGAAAAAGAAAATTATTTTACATAAAAGAGTAAGCATGGCTTTAATCAATAAATGTGCTGTTAATTATAATTTTTTTGGCCTAACTTTGCATTTTTAACCCATATACATGGACCAGGGGAATGAAAAATAGGTTGATTTTTTTCCATTAGTTGCTAAAATCACTGCTCTCCTCAGGTACCACTAATAAAACATAGGTATCAAGCTGTGGAACATATTTTAACTACTAGCAACAACACCTGGTCTCTTGGCAAATACCAGGTGAAGCTTTGGTGGCATTTGAGAGCTATTTTCTATGTTGTATGACATGGTTAGCAGGCAGCTGGATCTCTTGATCATCTTGAGAATATAAGAAATCTTGGGCCTCCTGCCAGCGAACTTCACACATGCATTTTGCTATGTCAACTGAGAAGCTATTTCCCTGTATAGTCTATCCTATCTTCCACACACTTTGCTAATTAGTTTATTGTAATAAGGTCTCTTTTCCTATAGCTCAATAACTTAATGAATTTGACATTAATCAGTTTGAAAATCCTCTTTTCTAAAAACTCTCACTCATTTTTCCAAGGAGAAAAAGTACATTTTTTTTGTAGACAATAAGCTATCTATATGTTATGGTAGACAGCAATATTTATTGTCAATAATATTTCACTTGATACATTTTAGACTTTTCTCTCCACCCTATTTTAAGCTCATTTTTGTCAACAATTATTATAATGGAGTAAATTTTTAGATTATGTGGTACAGAGAGTAAGATGCATCGATCTGGAAATGATGAAAAGGAATAAACTCTACCAGAAACATATAGAATTAATAAACAAATTCAAACAAGTAGCAGTATAGAAAATCAATATCCATAAATCAAATGCATTTCTATATATCAGTGATGAATCCTCTGAAACTGGGAATCAAAGTAACAAAAGAGGTGAAAGACCTCTATAATGAAAACTACAGAACACTAAAGAAAGAAATTGAAGAAGACCTTAGATGGAAAGATCTCCCATATTCTTGGAACAACTAATATTGTCAAAATGGACATACTACCCAAAGCTCTATACAGATTCAATGCCAATTAAAATCCCCACAACATTCCTTATAGAAATAGAAAAGGCAATCATGAAACTCTTTTGGAAAAATAAGAGACCCAGAATAGCCAAAACAATCCTTAGCAAGAAGAGTAAAGCAGGAGGCATCACAATACACGACCTTAAACTATAAATACAAAGCTATAGTAATAAAAATCACATGGTATTGGCATCACAATAGACATTTAGACCAATGGTACAGAATAGACGGCACAGAGACAAACTCACATAAATACAGTTATCATACTAGACAAAGGCACCAAAAACATACAGTGGAATAAAGATAGCCTCTTCAAAAAATGGTGCTGGAAAAACTGGAAATCCTTATGCAGCAAAATGAAAATAAACCCTTATCTCTCACCTTGCACAAAATTCAAAGTGGATCAAGGACCTAGGAATTGGATCAGACACCTTGTGCCTAATAGAGGAAAAAGTAGGCCCAAATCTTTATCATGTTGGATTAGGCCCTGACTTCCTTAATAAGACTCCTAATGTGCAAAACATAAAATCAAGAATTAATAAATGGGATGGACTCAAACTAAAAAACTTCTTCTCAGCAAAAGAAAAAATCGGTGAAGTGAACAGACAGCCTACATTTTGGGAGCAAATTTTTGCCACACGCACATCAGATAGAGCACTTATCTTCAGAATATAAAGAACTCAAAAAACTTAACACCAAAGAAAACAAACAACCCAATTCACAAATGGGCCAAGGAACTGAGGAGACACTTCTCAGAAGAATTATACATTCGATCAACAAATGTATGAAAAAATGTTCAACATCTCTAGTAACTGGAGAAGTGCAAATCAAAACCACTCTGAGATTTTATCTCATTCCAGTCAGAATAGTAGTTATCAAGAATACAGACAACAATAAATGTTGGCGAGGATGTAACAGAAAGGGCGCATTCATACATTGCTGGTGGGACTGCAAACTGGTGGAAAAACTCTGGAAAGCAGTTTGGAGATTCCTTAGAAAACTTGGAATGGAACCAACATTTGACCCAGCTATCCCACTCCTCCATCAATACCCAAAAGACTTAAATCATCATACTATAGTAATGCAGCCACATCAATGTTCATAGAAGCTCAATTCACAATAGCTAAACTATGGAACCAACCTAGATGCTCTTTAATAGATGAATGGATAAAGAAAATGTGTTATGTATATACAATGAAATATTACTCAGCATTAAAAGAGAATAAAATCATGGTGTTTGCAGGTAAATGGATGGAGTTGGAGAATATCAAGCTAAGTGGAGTAAGCCAATCCCCCCAAACCAAAAGCTGAATGTATTCTCTGATAAGTGGATGCTGATCCATAATAGGGAGGGTGTGGGCATGGAAAAATGAAGAGACTTTGATTGGGCAAAGGGGAGGGGGAAGGGGGAAGGCATGGGGGCAGAAAAGATGGTGGAATAAGATGGATATTATTACACTAGATACATGTATGAGTGCACATATGGTGTGATGCTACATCATGTACAACCAGAGAAATGTAAAGTTGTGCTGCAATTGTGTACAATGAATCAAAATGCATTCTGCTGTCATATATAGCTAATTAAAATGAATAAACTAATTTTTAAAAAATACTAGATACACCCAACAGAGTAGTAATTCAATTCTAAAACACAGATGATAAATTTTAAAGGATTAACAAATTTCTATTATCTTTCAAATGAGTAGTTTTTCAAATGATGTTCAGGAATGTTGCTTTATAAATTTGTGGATATTTAAACCCAGCTGACCATAAAAAATAAAAAGTGAGATTTAATGAGACCATTATGAAAAATCATTTAAAGCTATAAAGGCTAAAATTTTAAATCTTTGAGTTTGTTTTGTTTTGTTTTGTTTAAGGGCTGGAGATCAAGTCCAGGGACTAACACATGCTAAGTATGCATTCTGCCATTGAATTACATGACCAGCCAAAAATTTAATATATTTTAGACAATATTATTCCTTCTAGAAATTGTTGCTTTTTATTTTACCCTGTTCTGGTATTACTCAAAAAGGAAAACAAAATAATTAGAGGCCACCTATCGACCACATCCCACACAGGCTAGGAAATGGGTTTCCCTTCAGTGGAATGGGCTGGCTGAGAAATAAAAGCTAAGGAAAATAGTACGGCAAAAACACCACAGAACACAAGTATTTTCAAAGAGGGGACAGAGATGTGCAAAGCTGACCAGACAGGTCCAGCTTCTAACAAAGAAAGGAGACTGCGTTTGCTTTATTTAGAAATTACAGAAAGTTCTTCACTAAAATAGGTTAGAGGTAGGGGCAGGTAGGCTGCTCAGTTCCTAAAGGTTATGCCCATCACTGGTGCTTCGCTGGACCTTCTAGCAAAACTGAGGGAAGTTCATGTGCATTGGGCAATCTATCCAGGGGGACTGCCATGGGAAATTTCCAATGCCAGATCTACCCCTTCCCTGGATGCAATGCTGAAAAAGGTTTTCACGCATTTCAGGGATGGCTTTCCACAGTCACCATCAAAATCCCCTTTAAAACAATAAAATGGAGATTAAAGAGAGATAAAAACCATAACTTCTGTTTTCATTGATCTTTAATACTCACTTTTTTAAGAAAAAATGAGTATAAATATTTTAGTCAGGTATCATTTTGCCATTCATTAATCTAACCTTTAGATCTATAATTTGGTCTAACGCCTCCCAAAATATTAAGATTATACAGTTTTCAAATTTCTGATTATTTATATGATATAGAAAAAAAGAACTATGCAGTTTCATATTCTCCATACAGATAGTTTATGAGAGGTTGGAAGGTAAAACCTATGAAAGGTTATGTTTAAAAGGAGATTCTTCATTATGTATGTTAGTTTGTGAATAGAATAAGATGAAAGGCATTTCTGTTTCTTGTTTGTGGTCATGTGTTCCAAGTAATGATAATTACAATACAAAGGAGAAAGAAACCCAGTTCA